TTCGCTTCCAGGAGCTCCCTCGATGCGTAAGAAGTCGATCAACAAGTCCGACATTTCAGAACCCATGTTCATCTCATCCACCTCGAGAATTACCACGGTCAATCTTCCCCCAGGGTCTTCCCTTACCAACGGCAGTGAAATCAACGCCCCACCGATTCCTCCTGTGAACCCCAAGCGTCGCCAAACACGGACAATGTTCGGCGGCTTCATGGGCCGAAGAGACGACGATGAGATCCACTCGATGCCCGCCGCCACGCAATCCACAGAAGAAATGTCCACTTTCTCGGCAGATGAAGGCGAGTCCAAGCCCAAGGTCCGAGGAAAGCTTCGCAAGAGCTCCAGCGAAGGTGGAAACCTTAACGCTCGAGCCCGACAAGCTGCAAATGCAGCACCTAGCCCAGCCATGCCAGGCACATTCCCACCAGGCTCAGGTAGTCCTCCCCGCCCCATCGAAGGTGGCATGTTCTAAACAAATATTTTCCATTGTCTCTGCCTTTCCTGAGAGGCAGAAAATGTTTACTTGACGCATATACCCTTGTCATTTATTTTCTCTTTTATGCTTGCATGCATGCACTGCATGGATTGTATTGTATTGTACTGCTCTCCTTTGCTCGTGAAAAGCAACCGAGCCAAGAAGATAATGTTTACATGATGTCCTGCCTGCTTTTGTTTTTTACTTTTTCGAAATGCTGGTTGTTCGGTATGGAGAAGTACACATTTTGCCTCGTGGCGGCCTTCAAAAAAAGAATGGAAAGGGAATACTTGGCGTTCTCTGTTCGTGTCCAACTACTTATCCGTGTGTTTTTTCTTTCTCGTTGCTGGCGGGATGGATGTTTTGTGCGTTCTTGCTCATGGGGTTAATTCAAAGTAGATACGGACTGACGGATGTGTTTATGTCTCTCCTCTTTCTCTGTCGGTATGGGAACGCTTTTTTTCTCTTCTTTCTGAGTGGGATGTTCATTTGAGGAATCGGGGGTTTATTTCTTGGTGGTGGAGCTGGAATGTGTATCATACATGCAGCGTGTACTGTTGGATGTGAGCAGATGGATGGTATGAAGGAGGTGTGCTGGGTTCAGCTGGCCTGTGCTTGTGGCACTGGATGATGTTGGAAGGTGGCTCTCTGATTTGTGATGGGAAAGGGCGAGAGGATCGGGTATGGAAGTATATATTAGGACATATGGGGGACGCTAGTGGGAAGAGAAGGAGTGAGAGCTCGTGATGGGAATCATTTGAGCCTATTGTAAGGAAGATGAGTGGACAAAAGATGAAAGAAAGAAAAATAATATAAATGATTCAAAACTCTCACTCCATCCATCAGCTATCAGAGATCCATTTCTAATGGTCCTCCTGTGAATTGAAAATTTTAACTTCCTCCCCGACTTCATAGCCTCTTGAAGCATTATTCTCGCCACTCCCATTCAGGCCACTCCATTCGCTTGGCTCCACTCCACTCCCTCCGCCCTTCGCCTCCACAGTAGAATAGAATCTCCTCTTTCTTCCTTCAAGTTCATTCTCCGGCTTCTTCTCCCGAGCTTAACTTAAAAAATACCCTTCTTTAAGAAAGTTCGAAAAAGCTTCAAGAAAGGTGCATAAACGGTTTTGGGTCGTATCAAGCTAATAGAAGTCGATAGGTATTGAGCTTGAATGATAGCTTGAAAAATAATATCTTATCTCTTGTGCTATATCTGCGGCCGGGTCCCCGTTGTTTTATATCCAGGACGAAATTGCGGTTTGTAGGACTTTGCGAGTTGTGAGGCACGAATGTTATGTGATTCGTTTAGTAAGTCGATAGATAGATAGACTTGGTGTATTAAAAGGAGGCAGTCAATAGAAGAAGGAAATGGAGAAGGATTGATGACTTAAGTTCTTAAGCAATTCTTACTTAATGTCAAGTCACTTTTAGTTTAGAGAATGTGTGCGATGGAACGGCGTGAGCGAACACGTGTATGAGACTGCAATTTATTGTAAATAGATAATAAATATCTTGTTTACTGACTGTTGCTTCAGAAATCCGCCCAAGCCTAACCAAAAAGAAAAAGAAAAGAAAAAAGAGGAACAAGAACGGCGAGCTCAACACCTACGGTATCTGTGATGCCATCTACGGACCTTTAGCTCTCTTCGAAGGGAGTCTGGAGGGCTAAGATTAAGTAACGAGAATAAATTAAAATTACGAAATACTTTTCTTCGTAGTCCCCCGACTCACTGTTGCTGAATCGACTAAACATAATTCCTCCTTCGTTTAATACCAACTTCTCTCCTTTGATTGTACTTAATAATAATACCGGTTCCTAACGCTTTTCTTATCTTGATCGGCTTTATTTATTCCCCAGAATCCTATTTTATCTGATTCGCCTCCTCGTATGAAGATAAACTTGAGGGTATTCGGGGTTAGCGAATGCTTGTATTATTCGTAGGTATAGAAAAATCAATTGGAGTCGGGTTTTACTAGATTATAATCCCTAGGCACGTAAAGCTAAAAGAACATCAAGCCAAAAAAAGGGAACAAGTAAAGCACTGGAATCTATCATTAAAGCGTGGCAACAAATTCCTCCGCTGTCATCTTTTGATTATCTACATCCGCCATATCTGCCTTCGTCCTCTCTAAGTCTTGCTCATACTGCTCCATTTGGGCCATCTTCTGCTCGGTAAATTTGTCTATGTCTTCTGTTTCGAAGAATGGCAGTTCGAGTTGATCCCACTTCTCGTCACCTATGTGATGTCGCAACTGCGAAAAGGGGAGACTGTGGGGATGATTGAAACCCCATGAGAGCATCATGTGGAGCCACATGGCCCCCGAATCCTCGGAACGCCTCACGAGGTCAGAGAGTGCTGTCTCCCCACCTGATATCTTCTCCTCTTCCTCCTTTAGCACGCGTTTGAAAATCTCCAAGTACCTCTGGTATCGGGCGAGGATGTCCGGGAGCTCCTCCTCGTCTAGGTCAGTGTCCCAGTTGTTCAGTCGATCTTGCAGAAGCCACCACGGCGCCGAGCCAAACAGCTGAGCCGGTCCGACGTACGACCACTCCCAGTCTACTACTCCAACGACAGTCAAGTCCTCTTCGCTCCTAACGATCAAGTTCGCTAGGCCAAGATCGTCGCAAATGAGTTTAAACGGGCCGCGATCGTAGTCTCGCTCGACGAGATCAGGTATCAAGGATTTCAAGACCTTAAAGGACGCATACTTAGCTCTACCAGTATATTTTCCACCTATTGAATTCGGCTGAGAAAGGAGTTGTTTCCAATCCTGGTCGAATAGGTACTGGAAGTACTCGGTTGTGGTCGAGAATTCCTTGCTTCGATCATCTAGACAGAGATCGTTAGCGCCTTAACTTGACGAATCCAAAATCTTAGGGAACGTGAGAAAAGTGTCTTGGCGCACCGAGCGTATTGACTCCTCCGGTTTGTAGGATGTCATGTACCTTGAATGTCAAAGGGCGTATTGGCACGGGGAATCCAGTCTTGGGCGATGGCAAACTGCCGATCCGATCAAAGTCGAGTTTGAAGAGCTGGAGCAAAATATGAGCAAACTGCTTATAGAGGAATTAGATATCCCATCACTAATATCTGGTTTGATGAGCCTTGTGTCATTGTTCTTCCTAAGAAGATGATTGAGGCTTACGCCCTCGATGAAGTTCATAATGATGAACGGACCCAAGCCGAGCGGGTTGTCGACAGCAAGACCCCAGGCCTTGATATCCGGGACGGGGATAGTAGTGTTCTCACGGATGAGACTCAGCACCTCAACCTCCATGGCAACCTTTTCGTCAGCGTACTCATCACAAACATTGCCGATGAGAGGAAGGCGGAGTAGCCACACGGTGCCGTCGCTAAAAGCCATCTTTTGACAGACGTTGTATCCACCATGGATAAAGGCGCCCTCGAGGTGACAGGAGAGTCCATCGGGATGAAAGGTCGATACCCAGTCGGGGAGACGGCCATCTACACGAGCGTCGTTCACTTTGTCGACCCAAAGTTTCGTTTGAACTCCGTGGATGAGCTCATGACGCTTGTTGACGTTCATAGCATCGTGTGAGGCTTTGAGTTTTGGCTATGGAGTGTTTGAGGGAATATACGTTGCGAAGAAACTATCTGATCGAGTAAAGAAGCATTGAATCGCTCGAGGTAGGAGAGGACTGGGGTGGTGCGCGCCTTATGTACGAGTAAGACCTAACCTCTAACTTATGTGAACGTGCGACGGCCCAATGTGCCACAATTTGCTTTATAGGCTACACGACAGCCGACGTGCAATGCAAAAAACCAGACATTATCACAAAGTGAGACTGCATAAAATGGGGGATGGGGCATATGTGCCTAAAGAGTGACATTTTTCTGGGCGTGCCGCATCGACGAGGACGAAGATACGGGACACAACTATTTTCAGTAAAACTAGCTAAAGAATGAGTGCGTGGTGTTTCCACATCAGAAACGGGGTGGGAACAACGCCCAACCTCGTGAAAATGCCTCCAAAAATCAAACTCGAGCGAGGGCAAGGGAACCAAGGAACCAGGCATCTCCAAGCACCCTCCAGAGCTGGCCTCTTCCGATGTGCAATTAGAACGGTAATGATTGCGTCGACTATGGAACCAAAGTTGGGTTCTGCGAACGGGGACAGTTGCGCTGTCGAAGATATGAGCCATGGCACATGTGATAGCAGCAGGTAGGTGGGTAGCCTTCAGGCTGCAGTCCAAGTACGCGGCCGTTGAGTGGTGTATCTTTGGCAGGCCGGTCTCTGAGGTGTGCAAATACGGAAATATACTCAACCGCAAAGAAGTTGGTAAATATCTAGGCTAATCTCCTGAGTGCTCAATTGAAGTTCGTATCGATAGGTAATCCTCCAGAGCATGCCTTCATGTGGATTGAAAAGACACGGAGAGGGTTATTCATACCAAAAATAAAATTCTACTTGCGGTATCCCCCTTCCACCAAAAACGTATTTTTAAAATCCAGCGAATATAACAAGAGCCTTAAAAAAGGATAAAAATGTAAATAACCATTGTGTCTTCCCGACCGGGGAATTGAACCCCGGTCTCCCGCGTTTTTCTTGAAGACTGCTTTGCTGGAAAGATAGTTCTTCGTTTGAAAAGCGGAAATGCTAACCACTACACCAGTCGGGAATTGAGTATCGATCTTTCTGAGAGATGATTGGTTCGATGGAGAAATATTACTTATTTTGGTAGATAAGCTAGATACCCTATGGAAATTTTTTTCTTTTTATGGATATGGAGTGTGGAGTGGAGTCGAGTGGATTTTTTGCGCGGATACGTACCTTAGCGAGAAGCCTGATGTCCAGACATCACACCTTGCGAAGTTAGGTCTGGACGCATGGGATACTACGACCATAGATACTACCTAGGTAGATAAAGTATACTGTGGGGATTAATGAACAACGAAAACTTTCTATTAGGAAATACCTAGATAAGTTCCAAATGTTACTTTACTTGGGATTCCACAATAAGTGAAATCTCTGATGTCTAATTTACGATACTTACAAACCTGTGATGCCCATCTTCGTACATCGAAAAAAGAGGCTATTGCGCTAATGCTGTATTGTAGTAGGTAGAAGGAGTTCCACAGGTTGTAATTGCGAATTGCACTCGATACAACTTTGTCACGAGTAAGAGAGGGTGCAGCAATGTTTCCCATATCATGATGTATACAAAAGTCCGTACATGTATGAGTCTATGTACGATTTCACAAGTCCCTCCCCGTCTTCAAGCAGAAGTTGCTGACTCCTCGTTCTCTTCAGCTATGATTGCCAGCGTCTCATTTCTTTCAGGGAGTTGTTGCTCTGTTCCAGACGCTGCGGATGTCGCGAGACTCGATACTAATTGATCCAGAGGAGAATCATTCTGCACGTTTATTGTAGCTTCACCCACTATCGCCTGTTGTTGGATTTCTGCCGCACTAGTGCCATCTCCTTCGACGAGCCCATGGCCATTCGAGGAGTCTATGTCTCGACCTAATTGGATAATACATTCAGTGGAACTAAGCGGTAAACGAGTCGAGTCCTCGGATGATACTGGTGATACTGGCGGTTGTCCTGGAGATGCAGGGTAAGGCATCGCTAAGTGTCGTTCTGGGGATACTGGATAAGGCGGTCCTCCCACCCGGGGAGGAGCGAAATTGTTGAACCTGCACAGGTATCCCCTTAAGTGCGATTCGTCGCACAGCCTGAAGAGCGCTGTAAGTGGCCCTGTAGCGAGTCGCTAATTAAGCGAGCCCCACCAAACTCAGGCTGCTGAACCCCCTGCATGCCCTGTAATGGGGGCCCACTTACCTTCAGGCGGCACAACCTGAAGGCCTGTGCGAGTCGCACTGAAGGGGATAGGAGGCCGAATCTGAGCAATATTTGAAGCAGGGACTTCTATACGATTCGATGTAGGTTCATGGGTCATGAAAGGGTGTGGGATGAAAGGGGCAGTTGACCTCGGGGGAGCAAAGCCTGCTACTTCTAGTGACTGCAGTGTTGCTCTCCCGACTGGTTTCGAGATGCGCGATGGGTCGTTCAGACTTAAGCTTGGTTGTGTGGGACGGTCAGTAGAGTCGGATGGGGAGGATAGTTGGGCGAGACTCTTCTTCCTTCCTCGCAAGCCCCTCCATGTGGTGAGGCCCCGCGATGGAGTTCTAGTTGGCTGAGTGGCATCTGTAGTTGATGTTTCGAGGTCTTGGAGTGCTGATCTGTGGGACTTTGGAGATGCTTCTGAGGCGAAGATCTTGTTGGCTATCCATGCTATAGCTACTGTAGTTATCAATACAGGAGCAGCGGCGACTGGGTACCATCGGGCGGGTGCTGTGAATGTTGTGATCCCGAAGACTGTCTAGGACGAGTTCAGTAACGTGTGCTTGAATGTATAGGACATGAGGTAACTCACTGCTACAAAGCTCAAAGGAAGGAAAACGAATGCAAGAGCATTAAGCCGAGCAACTGCTTGTCCTTGGATTGCGGTCTCCAGATTGAACGTCTTTTCGCTTGTGTTAGTCTTGATACAACCACGCTGTGGTTTGTTCAGTATTGGGATTCTACTCACAAGACTGAGTAAATTCCCCTGTTGTTCCAATAGAGTAGAGGCCGTCACATCATAGTAATTCAACAACCGAAAGGCATCATCCAGTCGAGTGAGTAGGCTATGACTCGCTCTTGGACCACTCGGCTCAGGCCAATCCTGAGCTCGCTTCATCACCACATCTAAAGACGCCTGATGTATCCTCAAATGCTCTCTCAGACTGATCATGTCATTATTATCCGTATGCAGCTGGCGCGTGTGTTCAATGATTGAGATTGTATTCTTGCGGCTGTGGATCTCCTCGATTCGCGCATTCAGGTTTTGCTTCATCGCGCCCCAGATCCGATCCCAGCGCGTGAAGAGGAAGTAGAGATCGAGGTAGATCCATATCTGATTGTTGCTCAGACGGTTCCATCGTTCGTACTTATGTTGTTGATAATGCCCTGATATCTTGGAGCTGATGTTTCCGGTAGATACGCTGATGACGACGGCTAGTGGTCGAGTATTGGCTGTGCTTAAACCGTTCATAGCTGATGTCCAGACAACTGGGGGAAGTTAGTCATTCAGGATACAGTTCGTGTCTGTTGTTATATTTCGAGGTATTTTACCTAATGGTAAACATTGGGCTTTAGTGGTTCCGACATTGAAACCTTGACCCTCCGTCCCAACATCCACATGTTCCATCACACATGATATTTCTTCAAACAGTTAGAAACGCTCTTGTTCATTGAGCATGCGCATTTTCTCACCTCCACTCTCGACATTCACCAACGGGAGCATAGTCGTTGCGCTGGCCCTGTGGAGATGCAGAACAGTATCCACTGGAAACGATGGAATGGCCTCAAGCAGATGCGGGAGAAACCAAGCTTGCCAATTCGTAATCACCCTATCCTATAAGTTATTTCTCTTTCTATAACAAAGCCAAGCCAAACCAAGCATCATATTGTGAGTCACTCACAAAAACACAAGCCCCGTAGATATCTCCAACTGAAGCCCCAAGCGTCGAGGGAAATAATCGTCATCAGACTCCTCCATAACTTCAAATTCCTCCGTGATGAAAGACAGAGATGGCTCACTGTGTAAGCCATTTTTCATCAAGCCAAACGTACACTTAACGCTAGGTTGGTCGGCTGCAAAAGCCTCCTCGACGCCTCGATAACCCTGCAGTTGGTCCTGGTTTGGGGCCGGCACCCAGGTTACCTTGGATGAAGGTTTGGATAATGCCTTGGGGACTTTCTGCCTGGAGCTTGGAATACTAAGCACCGAATTCTTCGGCTTGTTCGGGACTTGGCTTTTTTCCGCTTCTGTTTCTTCCATACTAATAATGGGCCTCGCGTTCCAGGGCCTCGCCGCCAACGCCATGGGATCGGGAGGCATGGCAAATTTATTGAAAGCCGGTGGCTCAAGGAGCTTCTGTAAGTTGCCTTGAAGAAGTCTTTCTTCGTTATTGAGAGTCGGCTCGAAGTGTACGGTCCGGGGTGCCACTGGAGTGGGTGTATCGCCATCTTCAACAGGTATCAGACCGTCCTCGTAATTGAAGGCGAAATCCCTTTCTGCAATTCCTGAAGCGGTGGATTCAGTCGTTCCATTATATGCTACAGTGTCTGGCACACCAGACGGGGTGGGTGGGCCTGCTCATGAATTAGAACTTGTGCGTGTCAATACGCCTGTGATTTAAAAGCTGGCTCGGATGAATGAACCTTCAATCAACTTACTCTCTCCCATCCCTTCCCCCCACTCAGGTCCATCTGCCATAATGAGACTTAGTTTTTATGGGTATCAAAATGGTGCATCTGTCTGGGGCCAGGCTGTTGTATATTTATTTATTTGCACAGGGGGGTACAATTACATGAGGCTTCTCAGCCTCAGCTGAACAACCATCATGTCCAGTCTAGAAACGTCTCTATACGCCACACAAAGGCCAATATCTCAACAGGTAATCATGGCAAATCAGTGTCAGTGGGCATGATGCATGGTGGTGCTCAATTAGAGTCGCTGAATCAGAACGAAAATTGTTATAAAAAGTAGAACAGTCTCAAAACGGAAGAACACAACGGAGAGGCAAATCATCACCAGATGAGTAATTTTGAGGCAAAGCCATTCTTCGTCCCTGACTTCTTTCAGACCAATACCTCAAGAAGCATCTACATAGTCTCTCTCACATTCAAGATCCCATTTAAAGCTCAAAAATATCGTCACGATTGTAAAAATTCCATGAACGCCATCACCAGCCTCATCCCTACATATACAAAAGTATTACAAACACACCCATGCTCATCCATCCATGCCCATTCAGTCCTCCATCCAGCTGTCGCTTATGCATGCAAGCCAGAAACAAAAATAAAGGCAATTAAGAGACGCCGACCGTATGAACCCTCAAGCAGGCAAGAGAAGCTTCGCTCGCTCGCTCACTCATGAACGCCAACTCCTAGATGCCCTCGCGAAAAGTCAAGGCCCCGCGTACACTATTTCGCATCCTTCTCTCTCTACCAAAAACTGCACCATCCAATATAATGCTGGCAGAGATTCTCCAATTTCGTAGCCTCGATAAGTAGCTTGTCTACTTGTAGGATATATGTCAACTCTTCGTCGGATTTGAAGTCGCGACCGGTGAGCTTCTCCTTGACTCTATTCAGAACCTGCATGGCGCGCTCGTTCTGCGTCTCCTGGACGTCGATGCCTTCGTTGTTGACAAGACCTTGGGACGTAGAATTTGTTCTGGCGCGAGGACGAGAGACTGGAGGGCCGCCTGGAGCTGCGGTTGGATCTTGAGCCATGAGTGCTGAGGGTGGCATGTCGGCTTCCATCATTGAAGGACGACGGTTGTTAGCTGCCATTAGCGAATCTCGGCGTTGAGAGGGGAAGTTGGGTCCTGCTGGGGATGTATCGCCTGTGAGGCGCCAGTTCAGAAGCGGGTCGTGGATAAACTATTCTTATTAGTAAAAATACGATGGAAAGGAGTGGATATACTTACAGCTTCAAGCACAGCCATCAAAGACTCCTTGTTATCACGCAGAACTCTCATGACGGTCTCACAAGTGATTCTGAAGCTACCCTCGATGTTGCTGACTTCCATGGCGTATGTCAACATTCTCGTGAGCCGGAAAGGC